ATATCCTTTCGAGTCCCTCAAGTGTCTAACTGGGTCAAAATGCTCATATTTCATTGGATGAACGTCTCAACCGACGCTCTGTTATCTCTACCAACGCCTCGCGTTGCAAAACAATGCAGTAAGTTTGAGATGGACACTCAGGCACAAGCAGATTGACGCGCACACATTTTAGCACACAGATGCAGACCCCGCCGTAAACTAAATGCGTTGCCCGCGCGGAACGACGACTGATCAGGGACCAGTTGAGGAGCGCCGCGCGGGATTGCGCTTATCGGGCAAACATTTATCAGGGACCAAAATCTTAAGGGTTAAGAGTCTGTTAATCAACGTTTTTCAAAAAAATACACACAGAAATTAGTTCTTTCATGGGCATGAAAAGTGTTGAGTCAAAAAAGAAAATTTAATAAAGATTCACAAACCTGCGGAAAAATGCAGCTTTCTTCACTTTGATTATTTTGACGAGTGCCTGATTTGGCCACGATGCCTCACATATTATATTTGTGAAAGTTCGTCACTTTGGTTGCCTAAAACTTCTGAACCACTTAACTTTCGAATTTGACAAAATTAGCGGTGGTACAAAATCATTTAAAGTTATATTAAGGAGCCTCAAGTCACTGTAGTTTAATTTTCAGTTTTTCATTAGTTTTGTTTAGATCTAATCTTGGGAAAGTCCGTCTTCTAAAACGCCATTGTAAACAAGTGAGGCTTCCATGCACAAGCAGAACGCACTGGTTCCACAGTGACTTGACAATCAATTCTTTTCAGTCCGTTCATCAAACGGGTACCCAGCTAGTAATACAAATTATGTAATATAACACGCGAACCCAAAGCACACCTACCTGATCTCATGCACGAGGTTGGTCGTGATGCGGGCACCGGAGGCAGCGAGGGGGTGACCCAGAGCGATGGCGCCACCGTTCACGTTGGTCTTGTCGTTGTCCAGACCCAGCTCTTTGCTGACCGCCAGGAACTGCGGGGCAAACGCCTCGTTCACCTGCGACACGCAGGATTCAGAGACAGTTGGAAACATAGCCAAGACCAAGAGTATATTTATATAAGAGGCAATATTGAATTTAAACAAGAGCAAATATCATATATGGTCACTTTTAAGGACAAGCGGGCTATCTCAGATTTCGGGGGTTTCCAGAAATCTTGACCTACACCAAAAGTGGGCATTGCCCTACCTATAGGAGAAGTTTTGTTTCATTGGTGTGTATATTTGTTTGTTAATAGAGAAAACTCTGCGTGTCTTTTAAAGAAACTGAACAACGGGCAAACACTTTACCCTAAATTTTCTCAAAACAGCATTTTTCGGGATAGACCCCATATTCCAACAAAAGCCAAATATTATATAAAAAGGGGAAAGTTTTCAATACCTGACCAACGACCACTTCTCCACCTCTTGTATTTTCTACATCATCATAATGACACAGTGTAAGACATCCAACTGTCTAAGACACTCATTTATCTCCTCGACAATGGGTGGCTGTCTTGGACAATTTTGACGGTAATTCTGTTCTTATTTCCTACCAGAATTACTCAAAATTTTGTGAAGGGGGCATTACAGACAAATGTTTTCAGTACAGTGCAGCCTCTCTATAACGGCCTTCGATATAACGACATCCTCTGTATAGCGACATGGTGCTCAGGTCCAGATTCTTCCCCTCATATATTTATATATATATCATTAGCAATATTTTTTGTTGCATCTCTTATTACGACAACTCTCTAAACAACATTTTTTTCTGGTCCCAACAATGTCGCCTAGAGAGGCTGTTCTTATTTCCTTCTCAAAGTTTTGTGAAGTGGCCACTATGGACAGTATTGACAATAGTTTTGTTCACATTATGTAATCATCTGCCAGAATTATTATTGGATCAATAGCAACAAATATTCAGGAATTACTAAAAATTTTGTGAAATGAACAGTGTTGACAATCACAGACAATGATAACTGTCTTCCAACTTGTAAATACTCAATCACAGACAATGATAACTGTCTTCCAACTTGTAAATACTCAATCACAGACAATGATAACGGTCTTCCAACTAGTAACCACTCAATCACAGACAATAACTGTCTTCCAACTTGTAACCACTCAATCACAGACAATGATAACTGTCTTCCAACTTGTAACCACTCAATCACAGACAATGTTAACTGTCTTCCAATCTGTAAACACTAAATCATAGACAATGTTAACTGTCTTCCAATCTGTAAACACTAAATCATAGACAATGTTAACTGTCTTCCACCCTCCAAACACCCGAGCGTAAACCTCACCTCAACGACATCGATGTCTTTGACTTCTTTCCCCACAGCGGCGAGAGCTGCTCTGCTGGCCGGCACAGGTCCTATACCCATGATCTTGGGGTCGCATCCTACAGAAAAATCCAACAAAAAACCCCCACAAATAATTATCATAAACATAATGGTAAAAAAAAAAAGAAGAAATTGATTTATTGGATAACTAAGACCATGACATCAGAAAGCAAATGTTTTATCAGCTCTATCAAAATCGTAAGATTTTTCGGAGTCATCAAAATATCCAAAGAATTGTTTTCGAAAAGCTTGAAAATGTTGCGAAACTCAAAATTCTTTTTACCTAAAATTTCTCAAAACTAGGCATTGAGCAGACAGAGCTTTGTACAGTGGACTCCACTTGTGTTGATTTCGTTCGAGTTGATCTTCAGCTAACACAATCCACCCACGCAGCACACACCACTTATCCCCACGGACCAGGATACAGATGCGGTACACGCTATATCACACCGTCACCGATCGACATCCCCTGGGAGCAAAGTGTTAAATCTTTTTCTCTGGTCCTAGCACCCCTTCTTCTTTACAAATCTCAACAGTTAAGTTGAACTTTGGGCGAATTTATCTTTTTTCACCCCCCTCCTCCCCTTCCAAAGACATCAACAAATCCACAGCCAACTGTAATTCTAAGGTAGCGATTTATCATCAGAGTAAGATCTAGAGAAACTGACCTGAGATGCCATAAGCGGCCAATCTGGCCAAAGGTTCCAAGTTGAGTCTCTTCACAGCTGCCTCGCTGGCCACGATGAGAGAACAGGCTCCATCAACAATGCCCTGAGGACAGTGAGTGGGAGTTTGGGGAGAGTTAAATACGACATTCGACAGTATGCAGTTGTGAATGCTGTAAAACTCTTACTAAACTAACTGTTTGTTTTAATAAGTGTTTTACTGCACTTGCAACACAATAAGGTCTTACAGGTGATGAAGTTTAGAGGTGTTACTAAAACTAAAGAGTAACAAAGAAAAGGAGGAGAGAAAAGGACAATAGATGTCTCATAGAAAAGAAATAGCAAACCATGCCAAAGCACACGCCTCCCACTTCCTTTCTCCCCTTATGTCTTCCTCCCTCCCTTTCTGCCCCCTCCCTCCTCATCGCACCTCAAGCCTTCCTCCCTTTCATATCTTTATATACATGTACATTCTTTGTAGTTTAAATTTTGTACGTAGCGAAATCTTAGCATAGTGCGAAAATTTCAATGTTCCACCAGTTTCAGTATTACAAGCTAAACTGCACTTGTTTTCTAACGTACACACTCAGAATGTAGACAAGGAAGAACTTACGGAGGCGTTGGCCGCGGTGACTGTGCCGTTCTTCTTGAACACCGGTGGCAGTTTGGCCATGGCCTCTGCGGTCGCAGCTCGCGGGTGTTCGTCGACCGCAAACTCTTCAGGCCCTGGGAGGTAGAGACAGAAACAATGAGCAGTCTGGTTAGGGATCTACTGTATATACGGTCGAAACTGTCTAAGACGGCCACCCATTCATGACCTCAGTGGTTTCTTGTCCTATCTCCATTTTTTCTAACAGTGAAAACACTTCATAACAAAGAGTAAGCTGAAGAAGAAGTCATTTTTACTGTTTAAAAAAAATAGAGATCGGACAAGAAAGCACTGAGGTCTTGCATGGTTAAGGAGAAAAGTGACAGTTTTAGACAGGAGTCATTATAATGACAATGGCATAGGTTTAAGGCCCTATCAACACTATTACATTATTTAAGAGGCGGGACCTCCGAGTTTAAAGTCCATCTTCAAAAGGACAGAGCCAAATGGGAAATGCGCGTTAAGTGCTTTTCTCAAGGACACAACATCTACTGAACTGATGTTACAAACCCCCAAACCTGCAATCTCACGATTACGAGTCCGGTAGCCTAATCACCAGGCCACCGACGCCACACATTACAATGATAGGTAAAATGTAAAACATGTGCAAGGAAGGAAATGGGACGTGACCATTTGTGCAGGTGATTGTCTTGTACAGGTGATTGTCTTGTACAGGTGATTGTCTTGTGCAGGTGATTGTCTTGTACAGGTGATTGTCTTGTACAGGTGGCGCTTATAGCAGGTTCCACTGTATTTCCATACCGACAATTAAGTTCATCTTAAATCTTATCCTATTTTTAATTTTTTCTTTTAACACTACTCACACAGGCATTAAACAAAATGAAAAAAACGCAGTTTACTGAAATCTGGTAGTTTAGAAAAAACTGCAGACACAAAAAGAATATATTTCATTAAGTGAACGAAAAAAGAACAATCATGCATGAACATGAAAGTAGGAGCAAATTACAACAGAGCGAAAGAAAAGAAGTAGGATCTACCAGAAGCGCCCTCCAACCTCCCACCACTAGGGGGAGAAACGTCCCAAGTTAGTAAGCATTAGGCATTGGTATATACCAACCTTTCCTTCCTTTGATAGTGATGGGGGTAATCTCATCCTTAAACACACCATTCGCATTCGCTGAAAACAAAAACACACACAGAGAAACAAAATCAGCACACATGAGGAAGTAAAACATGTTGGCCTACCACAAAATGTGAGGTGTTAGTTTTAGTACAGTTTTACGGCGCTCGTAACTGCATATGGTCATATCAGCGCCATGGGGTGGATGCCAACAGAGAAGAAGTCCAAACGGGGAATCAGGCTTACTCTGCTCACCTCTCTAGCCTCAACAGCACAAGTCAGGGCACTCCGGAAATAGCGGGTCACAGGAGAGTGACAAACATACAAAAGAAGTTTATTTTTAGTTTTAGTAGAGGTTTTACGGCACTCGCAACTGCATACGGTCATATGAGCGCCAGAAGATTAGAGGTGTTACAAGAGAGTAACAAACATAAAAAAGAAGAAGGGGAGATAAGGACGATAGATGTTTGATGATAGGAAAGAAGAAGCAAACCACACCAGAGCACCCGCCAACCACCAACATACAAAAGAAGTAGAGGAAATGACAATAGTAAGGATGAGGAATGTGAAGTGTGCTGACGAAATGAGTTACTTCTCGCATTTGACAATTTTAACCCAATGGTCATAGGTACATACACAAAACTAATTATTGGTTGGTTTCGTACAACTTATTTAATGAAATGAAAACAAGATGCTAAACTTGAAGAAAAAAAATGGCACCAGTTGAAAATGTACAAATATGACATGCGTCCATTTTTGGCTGACATTCTTATTTATGGATTGCTTGAAGTAACTAATTTCATTAGCATGTCTCACAAACACACTCCAGTACAGCACTGTCTGCTTGTTTGAGTAAAGATAAGTGCATCGACAAAATAACATCCAGTTAGTGCAAGAAAAGAAGTAAGACGGACAGACAGAAATAACAGAAAAGGAAAAGAGTAGACAATAGAGAAAAATCATAGAAAAAGAAAAGTAAGAGAGACAGACAGAAACAATAGAAAAGGAAAAGAGTAGACAATAGAGAAAAATCATAGAAAAAGAAAAGTAAGAGAGACAGACAGAAATAACAAAAGGAAAAGAACCCCTGAACCCACAACGTGTGCCCTTCATGTACACAGCCTCACCTTTGGCCCACCTCTCCTGTGTCTGGGCGGCGTATCTGTCGCAGTCCTCGCGGGAAATGTCGTACTTCGCCGCCAAGTTCTCCGCCGTCACACCCATGGGCAGACCCACGTACGTGTCTGTCAGACCCTCCCACAACATGTCTTGAAGCTGGGGAAATAACGGGAAATAAAACACAAGCCATCATTTTGTTTTAGTTTTAGTAAGAGTTTTACGGCACTTGCAATACAATAAGGTCATATCAGGGCAAAAGATTAGAGGTTTTATAAGAGAGTAACAAATATAAAAAAGGAGGAGAGATCAGGACGACAGATGTGACCCACAAGCCATCACTCACTGAAAAAAAAGGGAAAAAATCGTGACAAAACACAAAAATTCAGCTTTGATAAGAAATTGCGTGATGGTTCTATTTGTGTACAAATTAAACACCAAAATGACCTACTCGTCAATTAGAGGGACATACCGTCCAGCCTTAGTTGGCAAGCACTGGTTATAATAGTACTGATAGAGATTAACTGATTATTAATATTAATTCAAAGATCACATGAGAAGTAAAAAAGAATACTTTGTTTTAGTAGAGGTTTCACGGCGCTTGCAACTGCATACGGTCATATGAGCGCCAGAAAATTAGAGGTGTTACAAGAGAGTAACAAACCTAAAAAAGGAGGGGAGATAAGGACGATAGATGTTTGATAGGTAAGAAGAAGCAAACCACACCAGAGCACCCGCCAACCTCCCACAAAAAGAATACTTTACATAACAGGAAAGCAATACTTCAACTGAATCATTTCAAGTAGGATCAACACAATTTCATCAAAACTTTAATCAATCATGACTTTCTAACACAAACACAGAGGAGCAAAACTCATTATAAACAGAGAAACATTTTATTCCAGTCAAGACTTGCTGAAATAGAGAGGAAAGAATAACAGAAAACAAAGCTCTAAAACAAAATTTGATTGGCAATTTCTTCTCCGACTTACTCTCAAATCATCTCCGAACTTGGTACCAAAGCGAATATTCCTCACGGCGTACGGGACTTGAGTCATGTTTTCAATACCGCCAGCCAGAACAATATCACTCAGACCCAGCTCAATTTCCTGTCGCAAAATATGATACAAATATATTAATAAATCAAATAATATAATAAATAACCAAATTATTTATAGAGCATCCACCTTCCACAGTAAGCTCTAAACACTCTGCAACTATTATTTATAAACATAAAAGCAAAGATAAAAATTTTTATACGGAGAAGTGGCCATCCCCAGGATAATTTCATTCTTGGTACACTTTGGGAAGCTAAATGTTATCGAGTTGCACTTCATTACAAAGCAGCAAATATCAACCTTCTATCCACTAAAAAATATTCAGAAATTTGTAGGACTATATTCAAATATGAAGCTTGAGAAGACACAGGAAGCTGTGAGTGTTAGGAAATTATTGATGTCCTGTACTTTGCTGCACCATCTTGAGTCTCTCCAGATATTGCATACATTTACATTTCCACCTTAAACATGTCCACTTCATAACTTTCATAACAAACAGAATCTCTCTAATCACTTTTTTGTAAAATGGCAACCGAATGCAATTATGTATACCTGTTCCTTTCCGACAAAATGTCACATCTGTAATCTATGAACAGTATTTCTTTTATCATAAATGATAAATCTCCCACTAAGTATCCTGAACCTACTTTTAATGTGTAGAATTTCAGACTGTCTCTAGGGAGAAAGTGGATCGTTAGAAAAAGTAACAATGTACAGTCTATAGTCTACTTACTTATTAGGTTAGAGACTAGGCATCATTGCAGGTGGCACAATGTCATAGCTGCTCCCCCCTCCTCTCCATGAAAGGGTCTGTTTGCCAATCGTTAGAAAAAGTAACAATGTACAGCCTACCCTCTACAAATCTCAAGTTATCATGACCTTGTGTTGACTGTAGTGAACACATCATAAGCTCAACGTACTCATCAGATAGCGTGACTTTCATAGCACATTTGGCAAGGGAAAAAAAAAGAAGAGAAACCTCCCACGAACCTGAGCAGCATTAACGACAGCCTGGAAGCCTGTGCCACACAGACGGTTCACTCCTAGACAGGGCACACCCTCTGGGATGCCAACGCGAAGTGAAATATGTCGAGGAGCGTAGATCCCATCCACTGACGACTGAAGATGAAAAAAAGTGATTAAAACCTATTTGATCATATTTAATTTAAAGATAGTGTAAATGGATGGCAAGCGGAGAAGATAGATGAAACTCAATATTTCTTCGTGACAATGTATAATGATCAATTAGACATGGGTCGCTAGACAGAAGAACAATTTACTGAGAATACAATATGGGCTCTTTTAAGGACAAGTGGGCTGACCCAGATTTCAGGGGTTTCCAGATATCTTGCCCTACAGCAAAAATGGGCATTGCCCTACCTCTTATAGAAGTTTGGTTTCATAGGTGCGTATATTTGTTTGGTTATAGAAAAAACTCTCCCTGTCTTCTAGAGAAACTGAACAAAGGGGAAAATTTTTTTACCTTCGATTTTCTCAAAACAGCACTTTTCGGGATAGCCCCCTTGCGCTTAAAAGCGACCATATTATAATCCACTAATGACAAGATTCATATTGAATAATATATATAAATACTCATGCTACTCAGAATCACAGAGAGGGCAAAAACTTAAGCCCGTAGACCAAGTTCAATACAGAAAGCATCAGAATAAGTAATTTTTTTTCTCATCATTTTTCCTTTCCTTCTTTCTTTAGTTCATTCTTCCTGTCCTTGCTTTTCACTTTTCTCCAATTCCCTCCACTTATTCTTTGTTCTCTTCTTCTTTTCTGTCTGTCTTATTTCTATTTCGTACTACCCTTCCTTCTCAACTTCTTTTCTGTCTGTGCTCTGGTGTAGTTTGCTCCTTCTTTCCCATCAAACATCTATCGTCCTTATCTCCCCTCCTTCTTTTTTGTGTATGTTAGTGTTACTCTCTTGTAACACCTCTACTCTTCAGCACTTATACGACATTATTGCGTTGCAAGTGCCGTAAAACTCTTTTTTTCTAAATTTTGAAAAAAAAATCTATTCCCCCTGAGAGAGAATCAAGCGCCTGTTGCCACTCACAGTGATCACGTTGCCAATGATGACTGAGTTCACGTCTTCTGGCTTCACGTTCCCGGCCTGCAGCGCAGCTTGAGACGACAGCACTCCCAGGTCGGTCGCTGAGATGTTCTTGAGTTTTCCTCCATATGTTCCAAATGCTGTTCTCTTTGCAGCAACAATAAACACACCATTCACAGCTGAAAGAGCAAAAAAACATATCACGTATGAAAGTGAAAGATGATCTTTCATGGAGTATAGCTTGTTCATTTTCATCTGACCGCGGTTAAAACAAGATAAAAATGAAATCGTTCTTTTAATCTTCTTGGAACTTTGGATACACGGGTCGAACAGCTGGATGACCAACAGAACCTAAAAGATTATCCATGATAAAAGTCACTGCAAACTAAGATTCTGACACGTTTTCTTTGATGTAAGCCTAAAGTGGTAAAAAAAAAGAAGGGGATTTACAGCATATACACCTACAACATTTAAAAGTTGACATATATTTTCCTCAACACCACACTCTAACATACGCCTAAAAACATGATTTAAGAGACAGGGTGAGTAATTTTCGAGACTCACATGGGGACATCTAGACAGCCGGGGGATGAAATCAACAAGCTTACACTGAAATATGGGGGCAGGGTAGTATATCGCTGTCTCAAAATGAGCAATTTGTAGGCTAGGTAACTGTAAATCATTTATTTTTTTAGTGATCCTGTGTATGTATCCAAAGAGCAGTTTTTAAAATCTATATAGGGCCCAAAAAGAAAAAACTATTTTACTACGGGACCAAGTGGTCGCTGGCCTGCAGAAGTGTCATGCAAAGTTTCGTGGACATTGGTAAATCCCTCAATGAGCTACAATTTTTTTTACGGGGTCAGACGAAAGTGAACAAAAGCTATAAGTAGACGAGTCCAGTCCGCATGCTACGTCTTAAAAATCTCTCAGTCAGATCACACTTTCTCAACGAGTTCCCCCCCCTCTAAATCATCATTTAAAAAGAAAAGACTACCAAAAGGTCATGACCTCAGCAGAGTTATAGAATTATTGTCCACTGCTTCTACCTGCTGTATAATTTATAAACAGGCTACACCAGTTTTCAAGAAGTTATAAAAATAATAAGCTATAAAATTATTTTTTTTAAAACTTCAGATGATTTTTATACTTCTGGACTTTGAACCCAATGGGTGACTGATAAAGGAAAAAAAATCACGCTTGTATAAAACTCAGCTTTAAAAAGATTCAGAAAAGAGCAGAGTCATGGATAGCCTAATAATTGATCCAACAACCCCCCCCCCCCCCCCCCCCCCACACCAAACAAAACAAAAAGGCTAAAAATAGACAACAATAACCTGCATGGAACTTCTACTTTTACATGTTTTTACTTCATAGGCCTCTATGTCAAGACCGAAAAATGTCTAATTCTATGATCAAGAATTGATGATTTTCTAGCTATAGTCCATATTATAGCCATAGGCTGGCATAGGTGACTGACCCAGTACCAGCTGAGAGATCTAGAATCTAGACCAAGACAAAGACTTTTTGTCTAATGGAAGTGACCACAGTTCTAGATCTAAAGTAGGGTAAAGTTTACACTAAGGTCAAAGTGACTGTTAAAATTCAAGCTAACAGAATAGAAAGAAATTAATTTTGAACTTGACCTTTGGAAATTGAAGGCCCCCACGCAGGCTACCATGCCCCCCCCCCACTACTATACTATGTCAATGTCATGCAACCTGCCCGAAAAACAGCACCTCTATCATCATGTATTGGGCAGATCTAGATCTAGACAGAATCTAGTTGTCTTTAGACCTATTGTACCCCAGAGAACACTTCACCACAACATTGAAAATGAAAGCAAAATGCTGGAATTTAGCATTCATTGATAATTGATATCTAGATCTAGTCCTGAACTAACGAACGTGTGCCAACTAACAAAGTCAGCACTAGAGCCTCTTCTATCAATAATAAGGTACACGTAAAGTTTATAATATAAGCTTACCTTTTGACAACGCCATTTCAACTCTCAAGAGCTTCCAATCTTTGAGGAATTCAAGTTCACGCTCGGCTCACAAACCCCCAAGTGATAACAACAGAGCGAAGTCTTGTCTCGTCTATTCTCTATGCCCTCTGAACTTGTGCTTGTGGCTGGCAAAGGGACAAAGTTCATTTCAGGACTTGGACTTGGACGACCTGCCTACCGGGTCTTTTTTTTTTCGTTTCGTATTCTCCTGACTTCATTCTTTTTAATTCAGTGCCTTTCAAACAAACTTTCTGTTATTGAAAACAGCGCCCACGGGAAGTCAATAGACAATTCTCCTGGCAGGCAGAAGATACCTGTAATGTAATCAAACGAAATTAATACATGATACATATTGTGTACAAGGCTTGGCTGAATTTTCCTATTTTCGCTTGCTATCTCTTTGAAACTACATTCCAGTGGGGGGAGGGGGGAGTCCCACAACACAGTGTGGCTCGGCGCCTGTTGTAAAAGTAGATCATCCAATATCTTGACAATCCAATATCTGGCGACCAACAATAATTAAGTGCATCTGCAGAGGAAGAATAAGCTTAACAAAATTGAAGAATAGATAAAGGTTAACCCTTTCCGTACGTCATGTTTTACTATCGTATCCATACGACGTGGGGAACTCTGTGCCACCACTTAACCCTATCCGTACGTCGTGTTTTACTATCGTATCC